GCCGAGCATCCTTGCAGGACGGTAGAGGTAGGACCGAGCCCTGTGAAAATGTGCTGATGACTGATAGCTGATCCAGGGACAGGAGGCTTGAAGAGATGTTTCCTTGCCAGAAGAAAGGACCACTGAGAGGTCCACCCATCTTGAGATGCAGCAAAGCAGCGGGCATCTAACTTGATTGCTGGCAAAGGGTGAGCAGAACTGGCAGGGCACTCATCGGAGCCAACCCTGCTCCTTGGGCAACGTGGGGAGCTTTGGCCACAGGGCCACAGAAGCAGCTCAGATAACCCAGGACACACACCGTAGGACCCATGGGAGCTGTCCCCCTCCTTCCCTTTCCCTCCCCTCCTCTCCTTTCCTCCCTCCTCTCCCTCCCTTCCTTGTCTGTCTCTCTCTCTCTCCCTTTCTCATTCCCTTCTTTCCGTGTGTGCGTGCGTGTGTGCGTGCGTGTGTGTGTGTGTGTGTGTGTGTGTGTGTGTGCTGATGCCTGTGGGGACCAGAAGAGGGTGTCAGATCACTTGGAGCTGAGTTACAGGCATTTGTGAGCCACTGGAGTGGGGTGCTGGGATCAAACCCAGGTTGTTCTTAGCCCCTGAGATCCCTTTTCAGCCTCCCTCCACCCTTTACCCTTCTTCTTGTAAAGAAAGGTTTGGTCTTACTGGGAGTTTTTGTTATTGTTGCTTTGTGTTGTGTTTTTGAGACAGGGTTTCAGACAGCCCAACATGCCCTCCACTGAGGTCACGGGCCTGCATCAGCACTTGGGCTTCTGTGGTGCTAGGGTGGAGCCCAGGACCTAGCCCGCGCCAGGCCAGTTCTTCATCACCAAGACACAGCACCAGCCTTTTTGTTTTGTTTTTCTTTCTGTGAGACAGGATTTTACTCTGTAACCAAGCTGGCCTGAAATTTGCTATGTAGTTGAAGATGATGTTGAGTGACTGATCCTTCTGTCCCCACTCCCCAGGAATGTGCTGCCACACCCAGCTGAAGAGCATAGGAAACAGAGTGTAGAGAGTTTAAACAACAGAAAAGTTTAGCAAAACCCCAGATCCTAGCAATTCTCCTTATAACATAAACCCCAAAGAACTGAAAGCAGGGCCTCAGAGGGACATTTGGAAACACATGCTTACTGTGGCCTCACATGCAGAAGGGAGGCACAAGTTCCCATTGACAGATGGACAAGTAAACAAACCATCCTAGAGATGCAATGGAATATTATTCAGCCTTCGAAAAGAAAGATGGGCTGAGAGGATGGCTCAGCTGGGCGACACTTGCTTTGCAATCCTGAGAACTGACTTTGATGTCCAGAATCTATGCAAAAACCCAGGCATGGTGATGTGCATTTATAATCCCAGCACTGGGGAGGCAGAGACAAAGGGCTACCTGAGGTTCTCTGGCTGCCCAGTCTAGATTACTTGGTAAACTCCAGATCAGACAAAAACACCTGAGATTGACCTTTGGCCTTCACACACACATACACGCATGCACACTCACACACAAACATCCACATCCATACACAAAGGAAGGGAATGTTATCCAGGCCTGGTGGCACGCAGTAATCCCAGCACTTGGGAGGCAGAGGCAGGAAGATCAGGAGTTCAAGACCAGAGTAGGAGGGAAGGACAGACAAAAGGAGGGAAAGGGAAAGGAGGGGAGGGCAGGGGAGGAGAAGGAGAAGGGAAGGCAGGTAAGGATGTCTTCATATGGCTGCTCTGTAGCACAGACTGATCCAGTCAGAGAGACGGCTGTGGCTGTGGCTGTGCAGACACTCCATCCGTAAGGTGAACAGCCATGTAGGGACGGAGCCCGACTTTCAGCTAGGAGTGCAAAAAGCTCTGGGGTGGATGGTGATGGTGCTGAGGTCTTTGCTTATTCAGCTGTGTGCTCTGTGTCCTTCTCCATTACAAAAGCACAATCAACAATCAAATTAGCACAGAGCTCCCTTGCTCCAAGAGATCAGTGGAGATAGAGGGAGAGAGAGAGAGAGAGAGAGAGAGAGAGAGAGAGAGAGAGAGAGAGAGGGAGGGAGGAAAGGAGGGAGGGAGGGAGGGAGGGAGAGAGAGGGAAAGGTGAAGATATGTAGATAGGCCAGGCATAAGTGTTGCTTTGGCATGAACCTGGAGACCCTGGCAACTATCAAATGTGAGCATGTACTTCTACTGGAATGTGTGCAGAGTAAAAACAGAGCAGCATCCTGAGGGAAAAGCAAGCCCATGGCAGGAGGATGGCTGCAGCCGACTCAGAGCCAGCATCTTGTTCCAATTGCCATAAGAGCTCTGAGGGGACTTCAGCGGGAAAGGGTTGCTCTCAGCTTCTTGTTCATAAGGACAGGACCATCACTGTTAGAGCCAAAGTGTGCCCAGTGAAGAGCAGAGAGATGGACTAACACGCGTGTACTTGTCCACGGTCTGTTTTCTCCATTTTATACAGTTTGGTGTCCCACAGAGTCAAGAAGGGCATCACCTACTGTGGGAAGATCTTACATTTCACTCCACCAAACCAGTAGAACCCCCCAGAGGCCCTTCCCCTGGTGACTCTGCATTCTGTCAAGTGATAGTTAACACTAACCCTCACAAGCAGACCTGGAGTCCTCAAGTTCCAGCCAAGACCGGAGGCTCACAAGTGTGATGCCAGCCTATGCTGTACACCAACACCCACCTCCAGCCATAATTCAGCACGCAGGAAGCAGATACAAGCAGTGGCCTGTAAGTTTGCAGCCAGCCTGCTCTACCTACCAGGGTCTAGGTCAGTCAAGGCTACGTAAAGAGACCTTATCTCAAAAATAAAAAAAAAAGTCTTGAAAATATGTGATTTCAAAATATTATATATTTTATTGATGTCTCCATTTCCATTTATATTTATGTATATTACACTGTGTGTGATAAGTTTAGCAGAACATATGTATAAATTAAGTATGATATGGGTCAGTCAAAAAATAGAATACCTAACTAGAATCCTCCAGTGAGGGGCTGGGGGCATGGCTCAGAGGTAGAGCTCCTGCCTAGAATCCCCCAGTGAGGGGCAGGGGTGTGGCTTAGTGATAGAGCTCCTGCCTAGAATCCCCCAGTGAGGGGCAGGGGTGTGGTTCAGTGATAGAGCTCCTGCCTAGAATCCCCCAGTGAGGGGCAGGGGTGTGGCTCAGTGGTAGACATCGGGCCTAGAATCTCACAGTGGGTAGGGACCAGGGGATCAGCAGTAAAGTCTACCAGCCATACTATGGCAAACACACAGAAAAGGTTCACATGGGGATAAGCTGAACACAGCCCAGGCCAGTGCAGAGCCTGCACACAAAGAGCTGGGCCTGGGTCAAGCTCACTGCAGATGAATAAGTATCTGCTCTTGTCATTACAGGTGTCCTTTCCATTGAGCAACAGTGTTTTCAGTTCTTTAAACATCTTTCCTTGCACAGAAACAATGGCTCAACGGGTTAAGGCACTTGCTTCTAAACATGCCAACCTCAGTTCAGTCCCCAGATGGTACACAGTGAAGGAAAAGAGCTGTCTCCAGCAGTGACCTCCACATACATGCCGTGCCCATCCCTCTCCATGTGCACACAAAGCAAATTAAAATGTAATACAATAATTTAAAAGGAAACCTTTCCGGTCCCTAAAAAAAAAGTCTCCTTGCAGCAAGTCTGCTGGAATACCCAAAGTTTCATTGCGTCTGCGAGAACCAACAAGGGAGAGCGTGAGTGGGGAGAACTGAAGAGGAACATGGGGACGACGTCCTGGAGAGGCACAATCCAGGCACCTAGGAGCAGGTGGACTGAGTGCGTGGGGTGGACAGTGGCTGTGTGAGTGGACGAGGGAGGGGGAAACCAGGGGTACATGGGAAGGTCCGTGGATGGGACTACTGGTGCATGCGTAGACAATGCTGAGTGAACAGGTGGACACATGAACTAGAAGATGGATGGATACAGGAGCACATGCCAACCTCAGAGGTTCGTTTGTTGCCACCTGTAGGTGCTCAGATATGCCACCAGGTGTCGCCATCATCTCAAGAACCGCCTCAGAGGTCACATAAGGCAGCCTCAACCAGAAGTTATTCTTCAAACCTGCCCGCCACATATGGCCAGGCTTTACTTTGCATTTGCACACGCCCACCAGCACCCCCTGGCTTCACTCACCATCCCAGCCTCCTCTAGCAACAGAAGAAAACAGTGACAGCTGCAGAAAAGCAGGCCGACCACACACTGAGCCTCTCTGGGACGGTAAATGTGTGGAGACCAAGGGACCCCTTAAGACTTGAGCTGATTCCTGTCTTGTCAGCGTCAGCTGCTGGAGCTGTTACTGATGCTCACATCACAGCCATCATTGTCAGGCCACGAGCCCACCCCACCTTTGCACCTATGGGGAAAAAGCCCTAGCAATCCGTCTGGAAAAGCAATGGCAAAGGAGCAGTTTGTAGTGGGACCTTTCTACAAAACACTATCCATCGAATATCACAGCGTGGCTGGTTTCCCCAGCTGATGGAACTTGGGCAGAGGTTTCAGTCCTGAGCACTAGGTAGCTGCCCTCCACTCCCACCCCCACACCCATCCCACCCCCACACCCATCCCACCCCTAAGACTCATTTAGGGAATGACAAAACAAGTCAGGAAATCACCACATTCTCCCAACCCCAGCCAGGGGCTCCCTACCCCCCCACCCATCCCCGACTTTCAGCACAAGGCTCTGGAACCTGCAGCTAGAGCAGATACAGGCTCTGGGGGGGGTGCTTCTAGAAGGCAGCACTTCTCACCTTTCCCCACCACACCCCCAGCAAAAGCACTTGTGCCCTCTGACAGCCCTTTCTGGCTGCACTGTGCACAGGGACCTGCGTCCTTCACAAAGCTGGCTCAGAGAATTCAAGGCAACCCTTAGGCGGAGTGTTGATCCGCTCTCAAGGGAGAACTTGAGTCTTCAGTAACCACACAGCTTATCAGCACGCTCTGCACCCCGCAGCTTGCCAGCTCAAGCTCAGCTTGACCCACGAGCCCCTAGAGCCCCCTCGCGGCGCATACTCACTCCCACTCTTTCCTTCTGGCCTGAGGGGTGCTGTGCATTTTGTGTGCCTGGTGGGCCAAGATGACATCCCGGTGGTCCACCACTCCACCACGCCGTTTCAGAGTTGGCCCCTCGAGGCTGCCACTCATCTGCTGTGACCACGGGACGTGCAGGGGTCTGGGTGAGCCTGCCAGAGTGCAGTCCGCGCCTGGGCGCCGTGGGCAGTGCAGGACGTCATGACCGAGTCGGGAGAGCATGGGGTCAAAGCCCCAAGGGGCCCTGGGCATCCATGGGCCTCTCTCAGAAATCCCAGGGGAAGAAACTGGAGGGAGAAGGCAGACAGGGAGAGCAGAGTGAGAGCAGCAACAGGGAAGCCAGGGCCACGCGAGCAGGTGTGGACAGCAGAGGCTACCCTACCCTGGGCCCGGAAGTTCAGCACCCCAGGCCCTGCTGCCAGGATCAAGTATTCCCTTGGCAACTGGGGGGGCAGGAAAGACACTTCTAGCAGTTGCTGGGCAACACAGGCCATGGGTTGAAAGGGCGCAAGGGTGTGGCTGATGCTGAGCAATAGGACTGCCTGGCTGCAGTTGCAAGCCAGACTGGGGTGGGGTGGGGTAGGGGTGTTTTCTCACATCCAGATGTTCCCTTCTGCGGAATGGACCCTCTGGAGCCCCTGCTCTCTGTGCTCTGGGCCTGTGAACTCCAGACACCTGATAGCAAGTTCAAGTTCAAATGTACTGGGCTAGACGCCTGGTCCTCATCTGCCTTCTGTGTGGTGTAGAGCATAGGGAAACCGTCTGTTAGTTGTTTTGTTTGTTTTGTTTTTCTTTGTTTGTTTGTTTGTATTTTTGTCTCGCTTTTCAAAAAATTGTTGTTTGTATGTGTATGCCGTATACAAGGCACAGGAACATGTGTGCATATGCTTGTGGAGGGCAGCGGTCCACCTTAGGTGTCTTTCTGCAGGGCTCATCTCCCTAGTTTTTGCAATAAGGTCTGTCACTGGCCTGAAGGCAAGGAGGCTAGGCTGGCTGGCCAGTGAGGCCCTGGATCTGTCTGTCTCCACCCCCCAGCCCATCTCACCCCACCCCCGCAGCAGTGTGCTTCCAGTGTGTCCCACCACGCCACGCCTGGACTCAGGTCCCAGCTTACTAAGCTGTCCCCCAGCCCTTTATTGTTTCCGTATTGTTTGTTTTTACATTTATCTATGTATTTATTTGGTGTGCTGTATGGATGTGCTTCACATAGTTCATTTGTGCAGGTCAGAGGACAACTGTGGGAATCAGTTCTCTCCTTCCCTCACTGGACTCCAGAGATGGAATTCAATCTACCAAGCCTTACCCACTGAGCCATCCAGCACATTTCATTTTTATTTTCTTTGTACATGCATGAGTGTTTTTCCATGCAGACTGTGCAGATGTGCATACAATGACCTTGGAGGTAGAAGATGGTGTTGGACCCCCTGAATTACACTCCATTGTTAACCACTGTGTGGGTGTTGGGTGGCCCCGTCCTCTGCAGGGTCACCTTTAACCACTGAGCCATTTCTCCAGCTCCTACTTTACCGTGATTTTTGTTTTGTTTTGTTTTTGAGGCAGAGTCTCACCGTGCTGCCAAGGCTTGTCTGGGACTCACAATTCTTCACCTAAGCCTGGACAGTGAGGGCTTGTAGGTATGCATCGATATGCCAGCTCTTTGACCTATTTGTGTATTCGATCATTTTATTTTATTTATTTGCAGTATGGAGGTGAAGTCAGGACCTCTTGCATACCAGACAAGAGCTCCACCCACAGATCTTTTTAATTTTTTATTTTGCCAAGATGGTCATGGAATTTACTCTTGTAGCCCAGACTGGTCCCAAACCAGTGAGCCTCCTGCCTCAGCCTCTTGAGTAGCTGAATGATAGACAGGCCTTTGCTATCAGGCCTGGCTTTTTTATTTGACTCTTAAAATGACACACAATCACACATCTTTTGGGACATGATGCAAGCACTCTGCCACTGAGCCACAACCCAGACTCTTTAAAACATTTTTGGTTCATGATTGGCTGGTTCTGAGGACATGGCTGGCTGGGTGCCGGTCTAGAGCCTTTAGGGCAGCCTGACTCCACAGACAGGAGGGATGTTGAGCCGTGAGGAATGCTGAGTAGCCCTGGAGCTTGGGATTTGTGCAGACAGGAGTAAGGCACCTGCAGGGTCTGGGAAATGCTGTTCCAGAAAGGAGGCCTCCCACCCCCATGAGCTGATATATATATATATATATATATATATATATATATATATATATATATATGAGCTGCACCCCCTGACCACCAGTAGGCCCTCCCCAGCTGGATCTGGTCCAAGCAGGTGTGCCCATCTCATCAACTGTGTTTGCCCAACAGAGAAAGACAGAGTACATGGGACTTGCCTCACCTAGGTGTAGCTGAGTGTGAGAGAGGACAATAAGGAGAGAAAATAAGCTGGAAGCCACTGCATGGATGTAACAGCCTCACAGGACAGACCCCATGTGCCAGGCATAGGTAGGGTTCAGTACATGCCTGTATGACATGAGAGCCACACCTGAGTCGAGGCTGATGCCCATTGCCAAACCTGGACCACCTTGTGTGGCTCCAGCAATCAGATGGCTCCTGGAGAGCCGTGGTTCTTCAGCATGACACATACTGGAGATGTGGGAAAGGGGAGGGAGAGAAAGAGGACAGTGAGAGCCAGGGGCATGTCTGTGGCTTTCACGGGGAGGCGGGGAGGGGGCATGTCTGCAGCCTCTTCTTTCCCATGTGCACAGGGACATGGTGCACAGGTGTCCTTCACCTGTGGGCCAGGAAAGCAGACACTGACCGAATGAGCACTAACTCTTCAGCAAGGCAGACAAGGCACACTTGTTTGTAAATGTGTGCAGCTCCTGGAAGAAGGTGGGACCCAGAAGGAGCCATGCCATTCTCCCACCACGGAAGCAAGCGAGAACAGGGCTACTTGGAGCAAGATTGTCACGAGGGAGCAATGTGGCACTCCTGAGCTGCAGAGTGGCCGGCCCTTCAGAATCTTTTTTCTTCCCTCTTCTCCTCTCTAGTCCCCCATCCCTTCCTGTTCCACTCTCTCATCTTTATCTCCTCTCTCTCCCTCTGTGGGGAGCAGAGGAAGCCCGAGTGAAGGAAGTCCCGAGTGAATGTGTGCCGCTGACATGGGCACAGCCATGATAGGACTCCGATGCCTCAGATGCATGGGAAATGGCAAAGCCTTCCTCCTGTCCGAGTGAGAATGTCAACAGGTGTGCAGAAAACGTCCACCATAGCTTTCTCCCCTAGATGCTGGCAGCCTGCAGACTGCTCCTATAGAGACTAGCCATGCCTGTCTCCGTCATCCCACTGCATGTAATAATCCTACCTCTGTGTATAACTGTATATAGTAGCCCTGGCTCCCTGCTCAGCTCTGTACCATAAACCCTTTCTTCCTGTTGAACCGTACATAGCGAACACGCTGGGTTCTGAGATGCAGCAGCCCCTCCAGTGGAGTCCAGTCTACTGGGTCCCTGCTTTTCTGTGGGGCCCTGTGTTTGCCTTCCTTCATTTCCTCCAGGTCAAGTCCCTGCATCCTTCTCTCTCCACCCTCTCCCTAACTGCTCTCTCAGTCTCTGTCTCTCTCCATCCCCTCCCTCCCTGTCCCTGTCTATCTCTCAGTCTCTCTACCTCCTCCCTCTCTCTGTCTCTGTGTGTGTCTCTCTGTGTGTCTGTCTCTCCCTCTCTCTCTTCACCCTCCCCAGTCTGTGTTAGAGATGGGGTCCAGCTATGTTTTCTAGGCTGGCTTTGAACTCCTGGACTGAAGCTGCTCTCCTGACTCAGCTCCTGAACAGCTGGCACCACAGCACTGTCCACCATGAACAGCCAATCTTTCGGATTTTTTTTCCTGTTGTCCAAATGTTGCAGCCAGTGCCACATACAGAGATCTGCCACGTGCTGTAGCACGAATTCCTGGAGGAGACTTGCTATTTCAAAGAGTGCACACTTTTAAATTCCTTCAAGCATTGTTTAACACCATCTTATTGGGAATTAGTGCTTCAAAATAGAGTTTGTGCAGAGTGATGCCCTGACACATGGCAGTGGGCTCCAAGTGTCCCCAGGTTCAGCCAACCTCAGGTCAGCTGGAAAAATGGCTTCTGTACAGAACAGGAGCAGACTGGTCACCTGCCCTTATTCTCCATATGGCACATTGGGACAAGTGCTGGGGGTCCTAAGTCCTGCAGGCAAGCTTAACTGCAAGCCCAGCTTTCATGCCAATTTATAAATGGTGCTGGGGCATGGCAGACTTGGGTTTCTGAGGAGGGAGTATGGTGTTCTGCTGAGATCACATTGGGATCTATTAAAATCCCAGCAAGTAGACATCCTGGGAGGGGTTTTCTTCGTTGGGTCACGTGAGGTAGGAACCCACCCTAAACCTGGGCACACTTCCTAGTGGCAGCCTACCTGAAAGGACATGGGAGAAGGAGGCTTTTACCTTTTGCCTGCTTGCCCTCACTCCTGCTGGCAAGTTCATCTGTCCTGATGCTGAAGAGCTCTTTCTATGAAATTAGAACAAACTGTGGCAGGCTTCCAGTGTAGACGAAACCAGCAGCTCTCCAGGACTACTGGAGGACTCCAGTACCAGACTGGGACTGCTGAGACATCCAGCGTTGTGGACTGACTGAACAACTACTGGATTCTCAGCCTTCCCAGAGTGAGACACCCATTGTTACGCAGGCCAGTCTAATAAGTTCTAGATCATATATATATGTATATATATAATGAAATATATATATACAGATATATATGTATACATACGTACATACATACATATATAAATACTTTCCATCAGTTTTCCTTTCGCGAACCCTGAGTACTATCATACAGGTGTTCTTTAAAGAGAGATGGTTCAGCCATTAAAGGCTAGGCTCACAATCAAAAATTAAACAGAGCATCTACTAAACTGAAGAGACAGCTCATGGGGTAAGAGCTCTTGCTACATAAGCATGAGGACTTGAGTTCAAATCCCCAGCATTCCCTTGGGGGAAAAATGAGTGTGTCAATGAGTGCCTGTAAACCTAGTGCTGTGGGGTGGGGGATCTCTGAGATTTCTGGTTTCCAGCCTAGCTCTAGGTTCAGTGAGAGACCCTGTCTCTAAGGGATACAGTGGAAAGTGATAGAACAGATGCCCAAGAGCCTCCTATAGCTTCCGCACACATGTGTATGAACACACACACACCCATACCTACACATGTACCTACACTATACTCAGAAATGCATGCATACATGTACACATACAGCACACATG